GTTTGTTTTGCCGTAAGTAACACAAATAGTCTGCCACTTGAGGATGCGTGAGCATCTCTTGCTGTAAAACCCTTGTTTGCTGCATAATTTTCAAACTTTGCCACTTGTCATCGCATTGCCACGCTGCTGAGTATCGTAAGGCGCGTGACCGCTTTTCCCCTGGTAGAATATCCTCTCTTGTTTAAACACATTTTAATACAGTCCATAATGCGAAGTTTGAATACTTCTGGGTTTCTGTGCACCTGTTTGGTGTGTGGATGTATTAACAGGTTTGAGCTTTGGGTAGCTCTAGTGCCGGGTTGACCGATTTCTTGTATTAGAGCTGAAAACACGCTCTGGCCGGCCAGTAGGGCTGACCAAAATGAGTTGTAGGCTCTGTGTTTGGCTGATTTTCTGTAATACTTGAGGTATTATTGCTGGGGCGGAAACGCTGCACGCATTGAGGCCTTCCCATGATATGCTTAGAGCCCCGCTGCCCATGCTTGTGGGTCTGGCACTGGTGACACGTAATGTCGGTAGTTGATTGTTGAACCTTGTGGCTTAATAGATCTACTAGCGGCGCCCTATTTGCTTGATTATCTGTGCAAATATCTCTGTATTGAGCATCCATTCTGTCGGGCGACGGTAGATGTGGCCGAGAGAGTGCGCCTGCTAGTATATTCCTGGCTCCGGAATGTGGCATGCTTTGACATGTAGATTTAGATCTTGGATTAATTCAACAGTTGAAAGGTTAAAGTCAAAAGGTTCGGGCGATCTCGCTGAGCCTTGCCTGTTCACATAAAACGCCACTGTCGAAGTTGTCGGTATGTATCATCAGGTGCGCATTCTGTAGAATGTTGCTCCAATGTCTTATGGCGCTGATTACAGCTTTCATCTCTAATGCTTATGTGGAGTTTGCTTTCTAGCTGATTCCATAACCCTGATGCCGTCCGTTGGTGAGATGAGCTCCCCAACCTTGGAGCCACGCTGCCTACATATAGATGGGTTTTGAATTCCTGCTCTGCTAAACAAATCCCTTCGCAGACATTCGATTTCTTTGTCCACCATAGTAGATGAGGTCTGAGATGTTCCGTAGACTGAATGGTTGTAGGTCGCCGAGATGTGTGTTGATGAAGACCTGTAAGGGACGAACTGTAATCTGCCTATGACTGTCAAGTCTTGGGCTGATGTTAGAAGACCTAGTAAGCTCTGCCATTGTCGGCGTGGTAGCGGAGAGAGTAGAGCTGGTGGAATGATCTGTTGGATCTTGAGCCAACGGTCTTCTGGTACCACTATACGGGTTGAGATTGGTGATAAATCGAATGCCTAGGAATTGCAGATCTTGGCGATGGTACTAGGTCCGACTTGTGTAAGTTTACTAACCATCCCAGCTGTGTTAGTAGCTTTATGATGTAGTTTAACTGTAGTTTGAGATGCTGTGGATCTTGATCTACTTGTATCCCGTCAGTCGAGGAAGAACGCGACTGGCGTAGCCCTTTGACGATGTAGATAGGTGACAATCGGTTTCGCTATCCCTCGCGGAATAACCATGGGGCTGATGCTATTCAATGGGAGTACTTTCCACTGGTAATGTAACCCGCCTAGCGTAAACCGTAGGTATTTCCTGGATTCGGGATGTATAGGGATGTGCAGATAAGCATCTTGTAGATCTATACTGCCCATGTAGTCCATGGGGTGAATCATGTGCCGTAACTGCGGTAGATGTATCATGCTGAACCTGGGTGGTCTGCTTAGATAAGTCTTGTTGAAGAAGCTCATGTTGTAAATGAGTCTGTATTTCTCCTTGGAGTTTTTCTTGGGTACTAGGAAAACTGGGGAGTAGAAACCTGGTTCGATGTTTCCTTGCTCTATTACTTCTATGGCCTGCTTGGTTAGGAGTAATGTAACAGCCTCTTTAACTTTAGTAGTTGCTGTGCCTGTACCTCGAACTTGTGAGGGTTGACTGTTAGTGGAGGCTTGGCCTGTAGTGGGATACTGAAACTGCTGAAAGAATGTTGGAGACATAGGTGTCTTGAAGTATTCCCCAGTTTTCCCAGTGTAGTTGGAGACGCCCACCCACTTGTGACGGTTGTACTGGAACGGCTGGGGTGGAAGACTCCAGTCGCTCCAAACCTGTCTTTCAGCGCTTATAGTTGCGGAACCTCTGGGTGTCCTGCCTCTTCCTGACCCTCCTCTATAGTTGCCATATGGGCTTAATTTAAAAGAATCTCTTCCCCTGAACTGGCAATCTTCCTGTCTCTTGCTCTTTGTAGGCCCGTGAATTTAGATCTCCCTGAGTATCTTTGTGAAGTCTGTCGAATGACACTGGCTAGCGGTCCATCGATTTAATCATCAGGACTTCTCTGGAATCCTTGGTGACTTCCTTGGAGACTCTGTCTATTCCTCCGCCAAAGATGGATGGGGAAGACCACGGGCTGTATATAGTGGAGCTGTAAAGTTCTCACCCCAGTTGCAGGAAGCTAGGAGGCCTTGACGACGAGCTAAGGTCAGTGCTGCTGAGACAGACGGAGATGATCTGTTAAGAACTGCTGGTCCTTCTTTGCATCAGTAGGGCCGAAAAAATCATTCTATCATCTTCAGAGGTCGTGTTCAAATCTGGTGATAAGTGTCTCATTTATTGTTCTAGATCTATTTAGACCAAAGAACATACCTCGGCCATGGTTTCTATCTGAACCAATTTTCGATCATCAATCTTGTAGTACTTGTTCTTGGCATCGGAGATCAGCTTGTAGTTCTCATCGATGTCTTGGCGCTTTGAAGAAGGGGTCCATATTATGCGGAGAACTTCTTGGCGCGGAAATTTGGCAGATGTGGCGCCTGAACCTTCGTGGCTTTGTTAAATGCTGTATCTAGGTTCTGTGGCACCACCGCTAATCGGGTCGATTGGGGTAGTGTAATAGCATCTGCATCGCCTTCTTTCATCAGATAAGTCTGCTCTCGAATTGCCACTCTTGGAAGGTGATGAGAGATCTAGATTATTGACCATCCAATATCTTATCTCTGCATCTGAGAAAATAATTCCTCCATCATCTTCCATTCCATCATCATAAATGAGAGGTTGTTGCTCTTCTGATGTAGGGCTGTGTGGCTCTATCTCTATATCGCTTGACGCTTGTGGAGATCTAGTTGTAGGCTTATGTGCAGACCTGTGAGGTGATCGACGCGGTGATGTAATGCGGAGATCGGGCGCAGGATCGGGCGAGGCGATCGCCTTGGTGATCTACATCGATAGGTTGATCTTCTTGGCGCACCTATGAGGGGACTGATGGTAGCTTCGCCGGCTCTTGTGTAGTCCCTCGATGTCCTTTTAGATGATGACGATCTGGGTTCAGGTGTCCTTCGCGAACGCTTCGCTTCTTCGCTCAAGGCCCGGTCCTGGGGAACGGTGATATGACCTTCGCGAAGGCTTCCGCGGTGGTCTGATGATCAGATTCCGTGATCTGAGTATGACGCCGGCGAAGGTGATGATCTTTCCCGCTTCGCCGGCCTTCGGGCTGTACATCTGGGTCCTTCGTCGAGGTGGTCTGTGACTTCCTTCGCTGGGCTGCATCGCCGCGGGCTGCTACGCTGACAGGGGGTGCCTCTGGGGTGCTGTTCACGCTGGAGCCTTCGCCGGGCTCGACCCTGGGATGGCTGCTTCTCCAGTCTGTAGTGGCCTTCCATCATGATCATGATCTGCTTCATAAGATCGCCTGGGATGATCTGCGACGAGTAGATGGTGCCCTCTCTGCGGTGCTAGCGGTGGGGCCCTCAGCCATCTCGCCTGACATCAGTGTAGAGGCATCAGGCTGCATGGTGATCTCTGCTGAAGTCACTGTCGCTGTCACTGGTCGCTTCTTGTATGCATGTCGGGTCGGGTATGATGATAGGCTGGTCATCGTAGAGGCCCAATTCTGCTGCTGGAACGATCTCGGCTGAGAAAGTTCTCGATGACTTCGTGATTTCCCTTTGAGGATGACGCTGCCCTGGGGTACGAAGTCTGCGCTGAGAAGACGCTGAGGCCCTCTTGGACTTTGTCTGCATGGCGACGGGATGTCTGGGGAGGCCGGTCGCTTCTTAGAGGTGACGGACTGCATCCCACGCCCCTCTTCCGATGGGGTCTCAAGCAGAACACCAGACGGGAGGGGATCGCCGACAGCAGCTGACTGGATGGGCAATCCGGCATCGGCCATGTCTACACCTAGTTTGCGCGGACCTATCTGCAACACGCCTCAAGACGCAAAGATGGTATTTATTAAAGGCAGAATTGGTTAAATTAATGCAGTAACTGCAACGTGAATCAAACGCATTGACAAGGCGTAGTACAACTAGGGCATACTACATGCGATCCGCAGAGCGAAAAACGTAATCTACAAATAGTACAGTTTTTCATCAACGTAAAACTAGCTGAACAATCACTTAACTCACGGAATAAACAGTAGAAATAATGATTAATTATCAATGCAAATAACTGAAGGATACTAGCTATACCTTTATAGTAAACTATAATAGGTAACTAACTAAGAAAACCAAAGGATATAGTGTGTAAGGAGACACAGGCGCTCTCACATCCTGCTCACTGGGCTAAGAAGGAGAGAGTGAAGCATGAGGCCAGAGGGTGGCGACACCTGTTCCCGCTACTACGGCAGGGGAGGTAACTCTTGGGTGAGTACCAATTAGTGATTTTACATTGAAGGGAGCTTCAATTAAGGAGATACAAGTGTTCCACTATGTTCGCAAGAGGAAGGGGACAAGCAAAAGAGCATGAGTCAGGATAAGCAAGTCTGGACAAATCAATCCAGTGATCAACAGCATGAGCATCGATCTGCGCAATGAACACTTTCTGTCATTTCTGTGAAAAAACAATCACTTTGCAAAATCGTCAAAATCTCAATCTTTCCCTCTCAAGTATACAATAATGAACAATTTTCCCTGAAGGGATTGAGTGCAATGTAATAAGAGATTATGGCAACCTCTGCACAAGCCCAATGCTTATTGATTAGGTATTTCTTATAACTTACTTCCTTGCACGGTACACATAGGCACATCTCTTGCCAAGGTAGAATTCAGTTTCTTCTTTGGTGGTGACACCATCAATTCTCAAGAGCGATGTATTTTCATGTTGGTTCCTCAAACCTCTTTTGTAACCAGTAAATACTGCCTTGCAATAGAGTCTGAAAATGACAATATCTGTACTGAGAATAATTTATGTAGCATGAAGTCAACACCGTTTCAACAACTCATTGTTCCAAGTCACTGGAGCTCACTTGGTACTTTAGGTACACATTAATTGCATGAAGTCTTCAATTCAATAAAGTACTTTCTTCATGTATATTGTATTAATTGTTTTCAGTATATTGAACAAAAAATCATAAAATGTCAGTATTAATTAATGTAACATGTAATATTTCATTATGAGAATGAACAGTTTTTCTTCACAAACAATGTATTTCTATGGAAGAAGATAATGAAAAGGTCTGAGATATCTTCCAGATTCCAATTATCAGTGTGCATAACTCTGGTATGTCCTTCAAAGCAATTGTTTGGGAAATGGCTGTCCACTGCCAAAGGAGTGCTAGTCCAACTCTAGAAGGGTTATCAAACATCCTAAAAAGAGCGATTATCATCAACAAGCACTTTTGCCTTGGCATTTACCACAGCAACACTGGAATCTGTTCAATATCTTTGAAAGTTGGAAGCAGCTTTGTGTACCAAGAATTGAGGCAGTTTCCACTATAACAGATACGAAGGAAAAGGGCTATGTGACCGTTGGTATTGGAAGTTATAAAAGTATGTGGAGGGGACAACACATTCCCATGCTCCCAAGTTACAAATAAATAATTTTGTCTCATCACATACACACCATGTTGCCTGATCAACTCTATGGCTCCATACCTTTTGCAGGCATCATGTTAAGCCCAAACAGATGATTTGTGTATTGTGTCATAACTATTGAGGAATGGAAATTGTCCTTATTGAGCTTTTTTGTAGTCAAGACATGATCTTACATAAAAAAACATGCAGCTTTACCAACGTACTATGCATGCACACCACTGATGTTAGCCAAAACATACAACTTTATAAAAATTACCAGAGGTGCTTAACATTTTTCCAGGTGTATATTTGACAAAAATCAATGATTACTATCAGATTCGACAAACTTAGAAGTATCAGGAATAAGTTTGATGGGTCCAGTGGATCATTTCTACCCCAGATCTTCATGGGTCTGTTTATATGAAGCAAATGGATGCTAGACAAGCAAGTCCATGAAATGATCTCAAAGACTTTTAGTCAAGAGAGCTAAACATGTATTGTTTAATAAGCTGTGATAATAAGAGCTATTCTCTCAGACTAAAACTGACCTTAACACCAGTGAACCATATACAGGATGACATCCTGTACAATCTATTATGGTCAAAGTCCACACCATCACTGAGTCAACACAGTCAGGCTTTGCTATGGTCCATGTAGACAGTGCTCAAGAGCACATCACGACTAACAAACGACTATCAAAATCAAGAAGGTATCTTGATTTGTCATTGAAATATTAGTTATTCTACTGATGCAAATGCCCCAGATGCTATGCTGCTGTTCCATTCTGTTCTTTGAGTTAGGCAGTCATGTTAATGCCATTCATTGGCAAAGATTTGTATTCCTGAAGCTGTGGATGTTAAAATTTATGATGGTGTGAATGTATCCCTATAACAGTCTAATCAGATGAGTTATAATCTTGAAATTCCACTGACCTAATCATATCTATTGAATAATTGACCTGTTTTGTCTTGCTTATCTTGTCAAAATGACATCATGATCTGTCACGAAACTCCTCATGAACCTCTTTTCAGGAATTCTGCAAGCACGTAATTGTGTCTGATACACTTGGGTACATGAAACCAAGAAGTATTCTTTGAGAATTTTATTGAAAGTCACCACTATGTTTACACTCTCCAAGAAATGATCATGTCACACCCTTTATGTTTCTTCCACAAGAATACAATTCATGAAAGGTATCTTCCACAAGAGTAGTGACAACATGACCATGCCAAAAAACTACTATTGTGGAAGGACCTGATCCATGAAACACTGGTACAACATTCAATGAACTCACCTGCCTGCCTTCTTGTGTGGGGCAGAAGTCTTGGACGCAGTATCAGCCATAATGTACAGCCTGTGAAAACAAAAAGCAAAATCATGTGAATGCTTTCCCATGACACATTTTGACTGTTCAACATGTTATTTTGGGACACTAGAATTTAATACTCAATTTCAAGTACTTGAGAAAGAGAATAAGATCCTTCACTGCCATTGTGAAAGAACACAAATTATTTTATACCAAAATGTATTTCCAGTGTGATACCCATAACCTTTAACTTATAAACAATATGCCTCCTTTACCAAATAAAAGTACCCTGCCTTTAGGTGATCAGGAACCTTATGCATTTCCAGGAACCTTATGCATTTATGCCATTACTTGAAACTGAATTATAAGCTCTACTTGCTACAATACAATGGATACCTGCAATTCCATGCTTATAACCTCAGTCTAATTTCTTGTATGAGGTTAAAATCAACCAATGGCACTGAGAACTACTGACAAGTATAGCTGATGTACTTCCCTACTATATTTACACTAAACCATCACTTTTGGCATTGGAGAGATATTTCAAACACAGCACAGTTCAGAGTTCCATGTCTCTAGCTGTCGCCATGAGCTTTCACAAACATATCCCCTAAAGAAAAGGCACAGGTTCAGTATTTACAGCTCCTTTAAGAATAACCATTACATTGGCCACAACATTCGATGTAGTTGGCCTAATACCAAATAATTAAATTGTCCCACCCTAGGGATGTGGAAAAAGCTAGATTACCACAAACAAACATGTTTGTTATACACTGCATCAGTGAAAGTCAATCAAGATGAAAGACTGTTATTACCTCAAAATTTTTGGTCTATTTATAAAATGTATTTTATTTAATTTTTGAAGGTTATAACAATCTAAATAAGAGTCATCAGAAGATGACATATCCCTCCGGCCCCCACATTTTTGAAAGAACAAATCATCTGACAGTTACTTATAGTAGTGGTGGGAATCGGTTGAATTTTCATAATTGATTATCGGTTGCAATCGGACTGTTCCATCCGATCAATGATTGATTGTACAATCGGTTACACTGATTAAGAATTAAATATTTTGTACAACTTGTGCAATTCACAGGTAACCATTTGAACTCTTTTACAATACTGCAATACTGTATATTTGTCATTTTTTGCATCATGTTATAATAGTGAGCATCAAAATGAAATATGTCAGCTTTTGTGGTTTGTTTCTGTGAAAAACGTGACTTGAGGGTGCATCTACAAGAACTTAAAAACTCCTGAATATAATATTTTTCATAAGTTTTAATTGCACAAAATCACAAGCAACTAAAGTCTACATTGATCAACAAAAACATGTGTACAAAAATATATATATTGACAGACTACCAAGATATAGAAAAGATGACTGTTCAGTTCACTCAGATTTTACATAATCACAACAAATCCTCAAAATTTTTTCCAAAATTTGACCCACTTTTTACACTAATGTACCATATTTTACCGTGGATAAGCCGAATTTTTAGGACCAAAAATGGCAGTCTGCAGAAGGGGGTCGGCTTATCTATGGGTTACACTTTTTTCAGAGGATAAGAAAATGACATCGTATCCCTTTACATGAACAGACAGACAAGAGAAGACAACTTTGTCAGTGAAGATATCAAACTTGCAATTAAGTGAGTGAGTGAGTTTAGTTTTACGCCGCACCCAGCAATATTCCAGCTATATGGCGGCAGTCTGTAAATAATTCGAGTCTGGACCAGACAATCCAGTGCATGAGCATGATCTGTGCAATTGTGAACCGATGATGTGTCAACCAAACCAGCAGGCCTGACCAATCGATCCCGTTAGTCGCCTCTTACGACATGCATGGGTTACTGAAGGTACATTCTAACCCGGACCTTCACGGGTCATTTGCAATTAAATATCACTAGACAAGATTTACCTTTTCAGTTCTACTCTGTTTTGCTAGGCATTGTACTATATGCTTGAATAAAGATTACCAGTGTATTTGTCTTGTATGTAAAGCCCGAAATAGCAATCAGCCGTGCACGCTTCCCAGTGATCTAGTTAAAAGATACCCAATAATATAACGGGATGAATTCTGCCACAGTGATCGGTAAAACAAAATATCTAAAACACTATTATATTACCAAAAGAAATATATCCTAGCATTGTGTAATATTTATAACAGGTTTTGCTTAATAAATGTAAAATATGTATAAACAAGAAGACAAAGTCATCAATATCCCCCGCAATGGCAAAATACTCTTCATGATTATGTCTACGAGTTATGATTATGTCAAATATTTAGGTGTGTATATAGAAAAGTGGAAGGAGAGTATTGAAAGGTTTTTAAAGTTCTGCTCCAGAAAGCAGCACTATCACCAAATTTCAGGCTAAGTCAAACTTGTTGCCATGGAAATGCCAAAAATATTTTATTCAGAATTCCAAAACTACCAAAAGGCACTAGTACACCACCAGATCTATCTATGTGCCAAGTTTGGTGAAGAAATAGTAAACAGTTTTAGATTTCAGCTCCGGAAAAAGAGCACTACCACAATTTCAGGCTAAGTCAAACTTGTTGCCATAGAAACGCCAAAAATATTTAATTCAGAATTCCAAAACTACCAAAAGGCACCAGTACACCACCAGATCCATGTATGTGCCAAGTTTGGTTAAGAAATATTGAACGCTTTTAGAGTTCTGCTCCGGAAAAGACAAATGTGCACGGACGGACGCACGGACGGAGTCCATTTTATATCCCCCAAACGCGTTGCGGGGGATAACAATACTGAAGTTATACGGACCCTCACAAACATGGTAAGCAAAAGTTGTACACGCATGGAATTAGGTGAAATACATATGCCAGATTGTTGTGATTGCCAGTTACAATAAATATGACATTTAGCAAAACAAAATATGTATGTGTATCCATTTTCTGTGAACTACACTTCATTTCGAGACGCGAGTAGACGCAATATGATTTTGGTTTCTGTGAATAATGTGGATAGAAGTTATAATTATCAGTAACTGCCAGTTGTCTTGTGGTCTGAGCTGGGTATTCATTAGTTTTTCTAAGAATTATTAGCGACAATCGATTTTGAAATTTTGCAATCGATTGTCGCATCAGAACACCACTAACTTAAAGTCCAGCTTGATTTTTTTTAGACTAAGTCCAAATCGTTTCATGGAAACTGGGAAAATATCAATGCCAAAAATATGTAAATAGCAAAAGGCACCACTTTAGGTTCTTTTTGATATGTCTACCAAAATTCTGCAGAAAAATATTGAACGGCTTTTGAGTTATGCTCCGGAAACGAAGCCCACCACTCCCTTTAAGTCTAAGTCCAAAATGTTTCCATAGAAACCGAGAAAAATAAAAATGACAAAAATCTGCCAAATAGCAAAAGGTACCACTTTGGGATCTGCCTCACATATCTGCCAAGTTTTGCTGAAAGATATTAAGAAGTTTTCGCGTTGTGCTCCGGAAACAAAACCTACCCCTTCCTTTTGAGACTAAGTCTGAATTGTTTCCATGGAAACAGAGAAAATAATAAATCACAAAAATCTGCAAATAGCAAAAGGCACCACTTGAGGATCTGTTTGATATATCTACCAAGTTTAGTTGAAATAGATTGAACGGTTCTTGAGTTATACTCCGGAAACGAAGCCCACCCTCCCTTTTGGAATTAAGTCCGAATCATTTCCATGGAAACCAAGAAAATAATAAATCACAAATATCTGCAAATAGCAAAAGGCACCACTTCAAGATCTGACTCACATATCTGCCAAGTTTTGCTGAAAGATATTGAGAAGTTTTCGAGTTGTGATCCGCAAACGAAGCCCAACCCTCACTTTTGGGACTAAGTCCGAATAGTTTCCATGGAAACCGGGAAAAATAAAAATGCCAAAAATCTGTAAATAGCAAAAGGCACAACTTTAGGATCTGTTTGATATATCTACCAAGTTTTGTTGAAAAATATTAAACGGTTCTTGAGTTATGCTCCGGAAACGAAGCCCACCCCTCACTTTTGGGACTAAGTCCAAATCATTTCCATGGAAACCAAGAAAAATAAAAATGCCAAAAATCTGTAAATAGCAAAAGGCACAACTTTAGGATCTGTTTGATATATCTACCAAGTTTTGTTGAAAAATATTGAACGGTTCTTGAGTTATGCTCTGGAAACGAAGCCCACCCCTAACTTTTGGGACTAAGTCCGAATCATTTCCATGGAAACCAAGAAAAATAAAAATGCCAAAAATCTGTAAATAGCAAAAGGCACAACTTTAGGATCTGTTTGATATATCTACCAAGATTTGTTGAAAAATATTGAACGGTTCTTGAGTTATGCTCCGGAAACGAAGCCCACCCTTCTTTAAGACTAAGTCCAAAACGTTTCCATGGAAACCGAGAAAAATAAAAATGACAATAATCTGTAAACTGCAAAAAGCACCACCTTAGGTTATGTTTGACATATCTACCAACTTTTGTTGAAAAATATCGAACGGTCTTTGAGTTATGCTCTGGAAACTAAATGATTACGGACGGACGAGGCGACGACTATATCCCACCACATTACATGCCGGTGGGATAATAAAAGCACCATACTCTGGTAAATTATAATGCTTGTTTTTCATTATATAACGCTTGTCATCCATTTTCCTATGGATTCACTCATTAAAGATCACATATACTCTGGGGGGTACAAATACATAAATCATTTATTGGCATCGTTATAAATGAAACCCCATCATTAAAAATACTCATTTTGACATTGAATTTACTTAAATCAACCTTTATGACAAGAGTGCACAATTCTCTCCCGTGAACGAAATTTCAATCAATCAGAGGGCGCGTCTCCTGACGTAAAGTGAGGTATGCATAGGAGGGGCACAGGAATTTCCGGGGGTAAATTATCTTGTTTACAAGTAAGTCTAAACCTGAAATCGTGACGATTGTTGTGAAAAATGAAAGCTTTATGTTTTCACAATCTACTGTCATTTAATCTTGTCACCTGCTTTGCCTAGCTTCCGAGTTACAACTTGTGTTCATAGTCGATTCTGCCAAAATTGCTTGTCATAATGGTTACCAGTTGACGAGGTCTGGCTTTTGTTCCCCAATTTACTCGGGTGTTAAACCATTTATGTCAAGTGATTTAAATATGGTTCATTCAGTGGATTGGCATTTCAGTACAAAGACTGATATGTCCGGAAGTAATTCAGACTGCGACAATCTTTCCATTCAATCTTCAGAGATGCCAACCCTATTTTGGGCCTAAGTGTAATATTGAAGGTCAACAAGAAGACAAAGTCATCAATATCCCCCGCAATGGCAAAATACTCTTCATGAATTATGTCAAATATTTAGGTGTGTATATAGAAAAGTGGAAGGAGAGTATTGAAAGGTTTTTGCTCCAGAAAGGAGCACTATCACCAATTTCAGTCTATGTCAAACGTGTTGCCATGGAAACGCCAAAAATATTTTATTCAGAATTCCAAAACTACCAAAAGGCACCAGTACACCACCAGACCAATCTATGTGCCAAGTTTGGTAAAGAAATAGAGAACGGTTTTAGAGTTCAGCTCCGGAAAAGTGTACTAACACCAATTTCAGGCTAAGTCAAACTTGTTGCCATGGAAACGCCAAAAATATTTTATTCAGAATTCCAAAACTACCAAAAGGCACCAGTACACCACCAGATCTATCTATGTGCCAAGTTTGGTTAAGAAATAGTGAACAGTTATAAAGTTCAGCTCAGGAAAAGTGTACTACCACCAATTTCAGGCTAAGTCAAAACTTGTTGCCACGGAAATGCCAAAAATATTTTATTCAGAATTCCAAAACTACCAAAAGGTACCAGTACACCACCAGATCTATCTATGTGCCAAGTTTGGTAAAGAAATAGTGAATGGTTTTAGAGTTCTGCTCCGGAAAAGAGCATAACCACAATTTCAGTTAAGTCAAACTTGTTGCCATGGAAATGCCAAAAATATTTTATTCAGAATTCCAAAACTGCCAAAAGGCACCAGTACACCACCAGACCAATCTATGTGCCAAGTTTGGTGAAGAAATAGTGAACGGTTTTAGAGTTCTGCTCCGGAAAAGACAAATGTGCACGGACGGACGGAGTCCATTTTAATACCCCCCTGCAAAACGCGTTGCGGGGGGATAAAAAAACAAGTTTATTTAGAATACAGCACCACAAATTTTAACAAGAGTCATCAGAAGATAACATATCCCCCCGGCCCCCACATCTTTGAAAGAACAAATCATCTGACAGTTACATAAAAGTCCAGCTTGATTTTAGACTAAGTGCAAATCGTTCCATGGAAATCATGAAAAAAATAAATGACAAAAATCTGCAAACAGCAAAAGACACCACTTCAAGATCTGATTCACATATCTGCCAAGTTTTGCTGAAAGATATTAAGAAGTTTTCCAGTAGTTGTATACCGCGGATACGCAATTTTTTGCAAGCACCAGTTTGAAATATTTTTCTTTTTTCACTAATATGCTCATATTTATTTGTATTACGGGGTGCTGACGTGTTATGTTTTGTGTATCATTGTATTTTGTATTTTTTAAATTTAGTAAGAATATGTTACACCGGTCAATATTATATATATTCGATTATTCGCAATTTTGGTCAATGTAATTATTTAAATTCTGTAAATATATTTTATATTTCGGTTTCTAAGTAACTCTTAAGTCTAAATGATTTACCAATGTGAACTGACATACATATATATATTTTTTTCATTCAGTAATTTGCACCATTACATAGAAACGTTTTTTTATTAGTACTTTATTTTTCGAAGTGGTAAAAATGCATTATACTGGACACGTCAGTCATGTTTGTGCCGGTTTGGTCAATGCATTCTATTTATTAAGATTATTTCAAGGGGTTAGGTACGTTAGGGTTAGGGACCTAATCCAATATAGTAGGTACATGTCTGGTGTAATATGCGAGTACCATTTGTTGTTTTTCCTTTTGCATTTTAATACTGCCGGTTCGGTCAATGCATTCTATTGATTAGGATTATTTCAAGGGGTTAGGGTTAGGGTTAGGGCTGAGGGTTTAGGGTTAGGGACCTAATCCAATATAGTTGGTCCGGTGTAATACGTGAGTACCATTTGTTGGTTTTCCTTTTTGCATTTTAATACTATTTTTTCACATAAAAACGGGAAACCAAAAACGTCGCAAATACACTATGAAATGGTTTAATGTAGAATTTTAGGCTGATGGAAATTGGCCTGAAATTTGCACTCAAGCCTCTTTCAACGCAACATAAATTTTGTTCAGTAATGCCCACCCTCGTGCCGTCACTACACATGCTCATGTCCCCCTCGTTCCTTAGTGCGATTCACATTATCCTTACAGTGTTCCCTACATCACTTTACTGTCACAAAATCACTGATTTATATAAAAGCGTGTCATTCATGCATGCACCGTGAAATCTACGTCTGACGCCCTGACGTTAACAACCCTTTTCAGTTTGAGGCATATCGGCTCATTCCACGCCACACGTTATTTTGCAGATTACAGAATGGGACGAGTGTGCCAAATGGCATCGGATCCATTCGGCACATTGTCCGTAGATTAAAATCATGAGACACCAAGTCTACCCATAACCTTCGTAATTGTCCATGACCTATTCGACTCTTTCAGTTCATTTCCGCGACGTCACAGGAATGACTCGATAAATTTGTACATTGTGTAACAGTGTGGACGTAGCTCAGTCGGCTAGCTGTTGAGCTAACAATCCGGTCGTGGGTTCGCATCAGACGGGTTCTCACTAACTGGTTGCTTGTCTTAATGACACGTGACCTACGGCAGAGATCGTCCTCGCGAGAAGTTGTGGTGTGGTTCCAACTAATTTTTAATAATGGTAGGGGAATGTCACATGACAAAACATTCAATTCCTAAAATAACATGAACTATTCACGATTTAGGCCACAAGTTCACCAGCGGGCAACATTCTACAAATAGTCCTGTTTTCGATCAAGTGATGACCAGGCTCATTTGTTTGCCATTTAAATATAGTTGGATCTAGAGCTGCAAGGAGAACATGGTTTACGAGATTCTCCTATTTCTCAGACCTTTTTACGACAACATGTGTGATGTCTCAAGTGACCTGTGACCTACGATACATAAGCTGTGTCACTGAAGTTTCTCAACCATCGACCATCCATGCATTTTGTGACTCGGAAATCCGAACCATAAGAAATTTAGTTGTGGGATGCAAAACATTGACGTCATACTACACTTGAAATATGACAAACAAAGAAGTTGTGGGATTCCATGAGATATAGTAGTCGGGGTATTTTTCGAACTCCAATGGACTCCCGATCAGAAATATCTTCCATTTCTCTTTTACCATCTGACAATCCATCAATGATCGTTTCACGCATGAGGCATCAGCTCAAGAAGGTACCGTAATGAATAAATACATGTTTCCAAGGAAACGTCCGTTTCAACATAAACTACGATGAAATTGACTAAAACAGAATTTATTGACATTATATTCGACTCTCAAATACTCACCTCACACACACACACCGAGAAACAGCGGAAAAGGAAGTGGGAGACGGTTCGGGCCAAATTAAATATGTTATATCAGAAAATAATAAATTAAGCTTTTCTTTTTAACATACAATATTCTGATACACATTATCCACTTTAAAACAACTCTGCTTGAAATAATTGTTTCGCATTTTAAATATCCAAACAAGGGTTCGACTGCGATACTACAGTGGAAACACTTCCTGTTATTCGTTGGCAACGGTAAACATTCTGCAATATAACACGAGGCAGTTCATGTAAATGAATTGATCCCTCGTGTGACATGAACTGAGGCAGTAACACTGGAGCAGACTGAGGACTCAACATAGTTCAAGGTAATATATCTTCTCTTTAAAGTATATTTTAGATTGATGGTACACGATGATTTGCTGTTGTTGTATAAATTGTTCATCACTCATTAATACCCTTGCGATATATAACTTCGATCACATAAGCAATAAGCTAACATTCGCGGAAATCTAACTGATAAATACCATTCACGGGTATCTTACCTTCATATAGGTTTATTCAAGGTTTCAATGTCCAAAATTGATAGTAATTCATTGTGCGAATATCGCACGGCGTGCCCGCCATTGTCGATGTCAAAACAGTGTTGCTGGAAGTGATGTCACATAACTTCGATCATCTGATTTGCTGGGCTGCAGCGGATAAGAAAGTATGGAAGGCTCTTGTCGTCAGAATTATCAATCACAACGTCCACAGTTATTTCAAGTTAATTAAAATTGTGAAATAACAAGTTTTCCAACAGAACGGCAAATAAGTGATGAAAAGTCACAAATTTACATACATGTTTGAACACTGAGAAAATAGTCACTCATCGATCTCGTCGTGACAGGGGCACCAAAATTCTGAGTGTCACCCCAGAGAACGAATTGGGGTACAGTAACGAAGATGTACCCAGTGTTGACACGCAGGGTGACATCAGTAGATTTCAGAGCAGACTTCTTAGCACTGGTTTTAGTTTTGGAAATGCTGACCCTCTTCTTTGGTGCTGGCTTATCAGTTTTGTGGGAAATGATCTTTTCCAAAACGCTGTCTTCTGTAATCGCCTTTCCCCCGACCACTGCGCTCAGAACTTTTCTTTTTTTAGTTGGCAAAGATTTCTTTGAGAGAACATTTTCATTGTCTTTGAAGAATTCCTCTGCATTTGTCTCATCTCGTTACCTAGATCCCTGCTTGTTGATTCCACTGACTTCATTGGGAGACATCCCAGAATCACTAACTGGCGATTTATAAACAGTAGACGGCACAAAGTTGATCGTAGCTGTTGCCGATTTGTCAAAGGAATATATACCACACTTCCTAAATGAAGACTGCAAATTTGCTGGTGTTAGTGCGAGATTATATGCTCTACAACCCAGTTCACACACAGATGCATGGTCCCGCATATGTTTGTTATTAATCTTGGCAAAGGGTCCAAAGCAGCCAACATCCATAGGTTGTAATACATGGGATGTATGTGCCAGCAATACAAACAGGATTATGTGATTATCACGTGCCCAGTTGATCAGAGGAAGAGATACGTGTGACTTATGGCCATCATATAGTACAAGTAGTGGATAATCTGCAGAGGCGCGACAGCATGTTTCAAGAAATGGTCCTGTAGGTACTGCTGGAAAATCTCGCTGTTTGACCAACCAGAATCACTAACAGTGCCGGTTGATCCAGGTGTACATCCTGTCATCAGTTCATCGCGCATCCGTTGCCCTTTGAAGACAAAGTATGGTGGAATGGATTGTCCAGAAGCACTCCCTCAACCAATAACGGTTGTTGTACTTGATCGAGAGGATACAACTGCAACTGGTGTAGACTGGCTGGATGAAATGACTGATGGAGGAGAGTGGTTCTCGACAAGACCTTTCTCGTCAACATTGTAGACACGATGAGGGCTGTTCTTCAAGTTATATTTATTCATAATGTGTCCAAGCTCATCGAAGTAATATGTTACAGTTTCTTCAGATTCTGCTTTCGCCCGCTGTAGTTCTAGTGAACGTGGTTTCTTCACACGTAGGTCAGGCCATCTCTTCATGAAACTGTAAAACCACTGAAGTGATAGAGGCTTGTCGTCATTTGACTTCTTTCCCAGATGAATGGCAAGATCTGTAGCTAGAGTGGTAACTTCAGCTCGAGTGTACCCATATCCTAAGTTGGCCATAGCATCAATATGTGACACCAATCCCTTTTCTTCTTCCATAGACAAAAGTGGGTCCCGTCCAACTGTACAACAGTCAATCGAAATCTTGCCACTTATACGATCATGGAGTGTTGCAAAGGGAACGGAGAATGTACCGGCAGCTTTCCTGATAGCCATGCTATCCAAAATGACAGTGTAGGCCATATCAAGTGCTTCAGACAAATATTGCCTATATTGACTTCTCCCAGTCTTTTCTCCATCAAGCAGAACCTATAAAATAAAATTATACCAACCTGCATTCCTTTATTACTCTCATGAAACGTACGAAATTTATGTAAAAAGAGGATAAGAGATGGCCCTTCTGGGCTTCCATAGTTTTAAAATTCGGCAAGAGCTGCCGGACCCAGGTCACGTGACTTTTATAGTGACAAGGTAAACAAAGCAGACGATGGGTCTCACGAAGATATACTTCATGTCATTACGTAATTATTTGCATTTTATATGGGTCTAAAAAGTTACATTAGTGATCTATGATTGGTTATGTATAACTTGTAGTATATTTGCAATAACTTATGTTGGTTAACTTGACACGAAGCATATTTCGGTCCAGGTAAAAACAATCGGTGTCGGCAGAAGATCAAAGCGCCAGGTAATGTCATATCTCGTCTGGTACCGCGAGAATACCGTGCACCTAAGCACATCGATCGCAACACGGCAACTAAGGTCTCTAATTTTTTGTGGTTTACCTGACTTAACATGCTGGTATACATCATATTTACCTAGAAATATAAGTTTTATTGACTATGAGATTCTAATGTTGCATTATGCCATACTGTTGACCTTACCGGCGTTCTGACGACATCGCTTGCTGTCCGGTAATGCTGCGCAGTAACTGATGCGCATAACATCCAGTTGGAGATCCGAAGTATGGAAGCGTGTTAGGGCCAGATTATTTTCAAAAATCACTTCATCAATGTAAGGAAGAGTGTTTCATATTAAATCCAATTATGAATAATGAAGAAAAAGGTTTAAAAGTCTGAAGAAAACGAATTTTCATAAAACTGTCAATTTATCTGTCAATTACTGTTATTTACTTACCTTTAGTGATTAAAAGCCAGTCCCTTATAGAAATGTCCCGATTTCAAGCGTAAATATGGTAGCAGACAATGTTTACCTCGATACGGAAGTACACTATTACAGCTGCGCAGAATTACCAGACGCACGGAATTAGCGGACTCGCTTGTATAGTTGACTGATGTTTAATCATCATTTCTGTCTCAAATAATGTGACACACAATCGCAACTCGTTCAGTTTGATCGTGGCTATCCCGATTGCCTCATTTTACCCGAAAATTGAAGCAGCATTGTATCATCACTGTATTGCTATTTTCTTACTATGGCACGCGGTACAAGTAAATGACACTGTCAAACGTTTACTTAGACAAGTAACGAATCTAAATAGTTTTAATGTTAAAAATAATTCAGGAATTTCATTAAGATTAGTTATATCATCATGTTATTAACCAAAACATCTGAAACTTCTATTCATTTGGATACAAGGTAACAATAACATAACAAAATACTTTTTTGCCACCTTAAAACATGACATACAATTTGCTGCCATGTGCAAGGTGAAGTTGCATAAAACGTCACTTTCTGTTATAGTTTTAGGACGGAAATTATGCAAATGACCTTATTGTTGTTGCAGGATTACTCTTGACGAAGAAGTTTTGATTCTTGCAAGATGCAATGGCGGTAGGGGTCATACTAGCTTCAAAATATTCCAGAAGTTACTGCAAAGCTGAATGCTTCAATATTTCTAAGATTAGACATGATATTCCAATGAAATAAATGACTTTTTCAAGAGTGATGAATATTTTTTTAACGTAATTTGCATATGTAAACAGTTTTCAAGTGCCATGATAATAGAGAGCCTGCAATAATAAAGAGTTCCAGTGTGTATGTATGTATCCCCCGATGATGTCACAATGTACGCCCAAGGAGAAGGAATATAACTCAGCTACACTTTTACTGATCCAATGAAAGCCAGCTCACATGGCTGGAAATCTTTGTGGATAAGAACACTATATTTTTGTACTATTTGGTTCCACCTGAGGAACCAAACTATTTCAACACAGCAATCAACATTGAAACCGTATAATTTTTAGTATCATCACAAGTCATAAGAAATAATGAAATAGTCTTTCATTAAAAAAGAAGTGATAGCAAAAGGATCGCCCGAGCCAAAGGATCAATCACCCTGACATATGTTGCATCCTTATAAAAGAGCACTAGCCTTAACATCAAGTGAAATTATGAAAACTCTTGCATTATTTGATCAGAGGTTTGATTTCTTCCACCATGTTAGTTCCCGATTTTGAAAGTAACCGTCAATGAATATGTCAGCCACCAGAAATAGTTACGCCAGCCCCAGCTTTCACCAAGTTTGAGGACTATTTTGGATTCTATGCCAAACAACAAACTGATAAGACTAAAATAAAACTGTTCAAAAAGTGATTTAGATATGCATCACGCCATATGTAAACTAGATACGCTTATAGAGGTACGGTAAATTTTGCGAATTTCATAAAGATGTGTTTAGTCTCGCACCCGGATTCCTTATTCTCGCTGTTCAGCAATTTGTCCCGACATACAGCGGCTATCGCCTTTGGTGTACTTGATTAATACTGTTAAAGATAATTCCACTTTATCTCCCTTTCCAGTATGAACAATCTTTAAGAAATACAGTTTGCTCCACCCCCATGTATGGTGTAATAAAGTACAGTTTTGCCCTGAACTATTATAGTTAAAGTTTGGGGATGCTCTACATGGGGGGAAGAGTGAATTGTATTTTTTTTCTAAGATGCCAAATTTAATACTTACTGACAATTAATCTAAGGCACAAAACAAATAGAAAAACAACAGTGTCGGTGACCTAAGTTAGCAATCCTTCTTCAGGGCTAACTGACATGTTGTTCTACTGACGTGTCTGCCCCCTACATTAAGACTGATGTTACCAAGAAACAAGTGACAAACAGTTTGAAGACGGTTTGCGTTCAGGTTAAATATCTTCACTTCATTATTTAAATTAAATCTGAGATTATCATATACCATATGAGGCCAGATGGCTTTGTCAGCGAACATTGTTGTTTCGCTGTGTAATTGTGATTCGAGTTGAGA